AATGCTTCAAATCTGGTGAAGAAGATGAAGAAAATCCACCATCACCAACACCCAAAAAATTCTGCCTCTTACCAGATCAAATTAACCCCCAATTAAGGTTGGGTCAAAATGCGCAATGCAAATTACAAATGCATGCTATGGACCTGGACACTTAATGACATCAAAGGATCGAACCGTACCCCAATAGTAGATGGATAAACATCCGCTGGATAATTCCAAAAACTGCCTGTGATCCAGACAATTGTAGAGCTCCACACTTTAACTACAAAAATTGAACAGAGAAAATAAACCCGCAGAAAAGATTTATCCTCATAGAAGACAAACCCATTCAAAAAAACAAAAATTCCTCAGTGTACTAAATTAAGAAAGATTTATTGCCCCAAAGCATAATATAAAACGTATATCAAAGTAGTTGATAAAACAGCATTTCATCAGAAAGATGGATGATAAGTTTCAAACCCATAAAATGGCCACCACGTTCCGTTACGTGCTGATGTCCCGCGCTCTAGCTCCTCTATGCGTTTCATCGTAGGTGATGTAGTCAGTGGCATGGCCAGCATCAGGACATAGCGCCTTTATATAGGGAGGAGGGAGACCATCTCCTCCCCTATTCTTATCAAGGCGTGCAACGGAACAGGAAGAAGAAACCTCTGGCCCAAAGACCAGGAGATACTATACATATTGTGCCAATAGTACCTAATCAACAGATCAAGTAAAAACAGGCACTGGACAACAAAAATTAAAATGGTTTAATTAAAAAAACAAGATCCAGATTTTTAATGCCCTAAAAAAAGCCAAACCAAAAAAACCAGCATAGACGTTGCAATACTGATCGTGGTTCCATCTTGTGTACACAAAACATATGACAGCTGTCACTTCAATTTTAATTCAAAGTATCAAAATAATAATACAAAAAATTACAAATAAAATATAAATAACACAGATACATAACCTCAATCAACCCTAAACACAAGTATAAAAATGAAGATAATAAAAAACAGCTTAACTATTATTGATGAATGCCCAGTAAAGGGGCTTTTTTCACGTTATATCTCCTTCGCATGTGTATTGGACTTTCCATTTACTCCATGTATTTGCACTAACTTTTTTGTGTTACATGTATCGCCATACTTTTATGTTTTACTGTTTGATGTATTGTTGCCTGCAATATTGAGGTGGCTGCTTATGTTCTATTGATTCTTTTATGTTAGGGAGTCACACATACATTATAGTGCAGAATTTTTAAGTTATTTTAAGCCTATATTAAAGCTTACCTGTAAGTACAATGACGTGCAACGTTTAGGAGATATTCACACAGCATGCAGCTGGTAATGTCACTGGCGCATATGCTCTGAAGGGACAGCACACTGTGCTGGCCCTTCAGAGCTCCTGTGCCACAGCTGAGGGCTCCTCCACACATGCGGAAGTGATATCATCGCGGTTCTGGCCATTCGTACTGCCAGAGTCCTTGAACCCAGAAGGAAAATCGGGTGAAGATGGAGGCATCGGGGAATTGTAACGGTACAACGCTGGAGGGCTCTATGTACAGGTCCGTCTGCCTAATGTACTAGTATGCAGTGCATACTAGTACTTTATGACCTAACACTGCAGGAGGGCCATTATTTAATACTTTTTGTGGGTGGATTTCTGCCGCTTAAAGATAAATGCCACAATAATAATCCAAATAAAAAAATACAATAAACTTTCACTATGGACAAGAGCAGTGGATCATGAAGGAGCATCCACTCTCAATGTTGAAACCTTATCTGTCCCTACTTGGACATTTATATTAAACTTCACTTCCTGCCCTGTAGACGTGAGAGGAAGTAAGAGGAAATTTCTATGAACAAAGTGTCTCCATTGGGAGGTATTCCCCTATTCCTGTGCTTGTGACAACTCAACATTTTGGATTCCCTTCATTTGAAGTCCTCGTTTCAGTGGTCGCTAGAACTGTTGGATAGGATAAAGCTCACCAATTTGGACACAGACAGCAATATTAAACCCGACAGGGGTTCTAATCCCTCACTACTCAATCCAAAGATAAAAAAAAGTTTTGGCTTTAATCACCAGCAGACTATACACCTTTTACGAAGATGTATTTTAGACAAGTTACTGGAAACTGGCATCTCCTTTCACTCATAAAAATACATTGCAGATGTCCCAGAATGTGCACATGTGTTCTAAATTACAGAGTGAGGCTGATATGTTACGTGCTCAGTGGTTTAAGTGGTATTCAACAAATTAGATTTTAACACAAACACGTCATTCAGTATTACATAAGATGCAGAATTAAAAACCCAGTCATCCTGACATTCTCAACATATGAAAATTGAAAAACATGCCAGTTATCTGTTGAAGACTAATTTCCACCCTACCCTGTTGCAGTTTACTGTTACACAATAAATGATTCATACAATCCAATGCCCCCAGTTCAATGTTAAATCTTAAATCCACCAAAAACTATTACATTCGTTTGGCATACTTGAAGCAAGGCAAATCACATGCTGGGTTAATTGCATCTCTAAGGGACTCCAGTGCCAAGATATTCCCACCAGAATTCCCAGTTGTGCCCGACTGCTGTGGCCGATACAAAGCCAAACGGTAATGTGACACTGCACCAATAAACAAATAATTTGCGAGTTCAGCTGTGGAAAAAAATACACTTTTAACAAGGCTTTGACAACTCAAAACACTTTCAAAATGTTCCTGAGATGTAAGAAGCTGGTGGGTGACTTTCCTAACCAGAGCCCTGCTGCAGTCTGTCCCTAGCATTAAATTGGCAGGTTTTTTTTAGTCGCCCTGTAACATAGTTTCACTACCCATTCATTAATCATACAGGTAGATCTGATTACGTGCAGTGCATCCAGAAAGTATTCACAGCGCTTAACTTTTGCCACATTTTGTTATGTTACAGCCTAATTCCAAAATGGATTAAATTTATTTTTTTCCCTCAACATTCTACAAACAATACCCCATAATGACAATGTGAAAGAAGTTCATTTTGAAATCTTTGCAATTTATTAAAAATAAAAAATGAAAAAAACCACTGTACATAAGTATTTACAGCCTTTGTCATGACACTCAAAAGTGAGCTCTGGTGCATCCTGTTCCCACTGTTCATCCTTGAGATGTTTCCACAACTTGATTGGACTCCACCTGTGGGAAATTCAGTTGATTGGACATGATTAGGAAAGGCATAAACCTGTCTATATAAGGTCCCACAGTTAACAGTACATGTCGGAGCACAGACCAAGCCATGAAGTCCAAGGAATTGTCCATAGACCTCCGAGACAGGATTGTATCAAGGCACAGATCTGGGGAAGGGTACAGAAAAATTTCTGCAGCATTGAAGGTCCCAATGAGCACAGTGGCCTCCATCATCCATAAATGGAAGAAGTTTGGAACCACCAGGAATCTTCCTAGAGCGGGCCACCTGGCCAAAATGAGCGATCGATGGAGAAGGACCTTAGCCAGTGAGGTAACCAAGCACTTAATCGTCACTCTGAAAGAGTTCCAGCATTTCTCTGTGGAGAGAGGAGACCCTTCCAGAAGAACAACCATCTCTGCAGCACTCCACCAATCAGGCCTGTATGGTAGAGTGGCAAGACGGAAGCCACTACCCAGTAAAAGGCAAATGGCAGCCTGCTTGGAGTTTGCCAAAAGGCACCTGAGGGACTCTCAGACCATGAGAAACAAAACTCTCTGGTCTGATGAAACAAAGATGAACACTTTGGCCTGAATGCCAAGTGTCATGTGTAGAGGAAACCAGGCACCGCTTACCACCTGGCCAATACCATCCCTACAGTGAAGCATGGTGATGGCAGCATCGTGCTGTGGTGATGTTTTTCAGCAGCAGGAACTGCGAGACTAGTCAGGATTGAAGGAAAGATGAATGCAGCAATGTAAAGAGACATCCTTGATGAAAACATGTTCCAGACCGCTTTGGACCTAAGACTGGGACAACGGTTCATCTTTCAGGATAATGACCCCCCCCCCGCAAATGACCCTTTTTTGGAAAGTAGACACCCCAAGGAATTTGATAAGAAGCATGGTGAGTATTTTGCAGATCTCGTTTGTTGGCAAAAGTTTTTGGAAAATGCAGAAAGATAACAAAAACATATTTTTTCTTTTCTTTTTTTATATTTCAAAACCTTATGAGAAAAAATGAGATCTGCAAAATACACACCATGTCTATTTGTAAATTCCTTGGGGTGTCTACTTTCCAAAAAGGGATCATTTGGGGGGGGGGGGGTTGGTGCTATCCTGCCATTTCAGGGCCTCTGAAACTGTGATAGTAGTGAGGAAGTGAAATCAGGAAGTTATGCACCTTCAGTCTTTCAATTGGATTTCAGACTCCTGTACGTGGCTAGGCTCCCAAAAAAATAATAAATAGTAATTCCACATATACCCATGGATTTTGAGAGAAATATATAATTTAAATGACAACTTTGTGTAAAAAAAAAAAAAAAACTTGTGGAAAAAAATAAATCTTCCATGGACTCAATATGCCTCTCAGCAGATAGCTTAGGGTGTCTACTTTCCGAAAAGGGGTAATTTTGAGGTGTTTGTACTGTCCTGGTATTTTATCAACTCAAGAAATGCGATGGGCAGTCAGAAAGTAAAAGCTGTGTAAATTCCATTATCTATACCATAGTTTGTAGATGCTATAACTTTCACACAAAGCAATCAATATACACTTCTTTGGGATTTTTTTTTTACCAAAGACATGTAGCAGAATACATTTTGGCCTAAATTTATGAGGAAATTTGAGTTTTTATGACAGAAAAGAGAAAATGTCTTTTTTTTTCAAAACATTTTTTTGTTTATAGCGCCAAAAATAAAAAGCACACAGGTGATCAAATACCACCAAAAGACAGCCCTATTTGTGTAAAATAAAAGGACATACATTTCATTTGTGTACCATATTGCATGACTGCGCAATTGTTAGTTAAACTAGTGCAGCGCTGTATAGCAAAAAAATGGTGTAAATCACAGTATCTACCAGGCCTTCAAATTTCCACTCGCCTGCTTGCCAATGGCAAGTGGAAATTATGGTGGGGGCGAGTGTGTCCCCCAGGGCCGTCTTGCTGAGCAGGCTCGGAGCTCAGGCCGGATCTGCCATTGACACTGGGAGCCGTCAGACTGCTCAATAGCTGAGCATAGTGAAAGCGAAGGAAGGAGTGTGTGCTGTGCTCTCTGCCTCCCCTAGAGTGCAGTACCCAGCTCTGTGAGTGAACAACAAAGTACTGCAACTTTTTATAGGTGTGTGTGTACCTAATTTCAACTCACTCTGGTCACGTGATCCTCTATGTCAGCCAGTGGTGGCTTCAGGGGAGAGGAGAGAGCACTTAACAGCGTGTGTGTATGCATGTCTGTGTATGTACATGTGTGTATCTGTACATGTGTCTGCGTGTATGTACATTTATGTGTCTGTGTGTATGTACATGTGTCTGTGCGTGTGTATTTCTGTGTATGTACATGTATCTGTGTGTATACATGTCTGTACGTGCCTGTGTGTGTATACATGTGTCTGTATGTGTGTGTACATCTGTCTCTGTGTGTATGTACATGTCTGTGTGTGTGTACAGGTGTCTCTGTTTGTGTGTGTTTGTTGGTGGCGAGTAACTCTTAAGGCCTGGCTAGTAGCTCAGGGCTTGAAATTTTAGGCCCTGATCTATACCATAGTTTGTATACACTATAACTTTCACACAAAGCAATCAATATACACTTATTGGGATTTTTTTTACCAAAAACATATGTAGCAGAATACATTTTGGCCTAAATGTATGACTAACTTTGAGTTTACTATATATTTTTTATAGCCAAAAGTAAAAAATATAATTTTTCTTCAAAATTTTTGGTCTTTTTTTGTTTATAGCGCGAAAAATAAAAAGCGCACAGGTGATCAAATACCACCTAAAGAAAGCTCTATTTGTATGAAAAAAAGAACATAAGTTGCATTTGGGTACAGCATTGCAATTATCAGTTGACATAGTGCAGCGCCGAATAGCAAAAAGAGGCCTGGTCATTAAGGGAAGTAAATCCTCAGGATGGCAAGTGGTTAAAGCTGAATTGAAGGTATGTTTTTTTTTCATAGCTGAATTACAGGCATGTTTCTTTCTTGCATGGTTACATTGGTCCAGCTTGGAATACTGCATATTCTATACCTGGCCAATCCCTGTGGAAGCGGAAGATGGCAGGCTTCTGGATCCCATGCCAGGTGGCTGCTCTATTTTATGGTAACCAGGGCTCCCTCCAAAGTTGTCGACCTCTGTCCTGCCAGCTTGCCCACCACTGGTAATGCTCTGCATCAATGGCTGCTATGGGGATAAAAGGAGAGAAAGTCATGGTATGGCCTCCATCCTCCCCTGACCTCAATCCTATTGAGAACCTTTGGAGCATCCTCAAGCAAAAGATCTATGAGGGTGGGAGGCAGTTTACATCCAAACAGCAGCTCTGGGAGGCTATTCTGACATCTTGCAAACAAATTCAAGCAGAAACTGTCCAAAAACTCACAAGTTCAATGGATGCAAGACTTGTGAAGCTGCTATCAAATAAGGGGTCCTATGTTAAAATGTAACGTGACTTGTTAAAATGTTTAAAAAGTTAAAATGTTGTTAAAAATTTGATTGAAATAGCTTTTGATTTCAGTAAATATGCTGCAAACACAACAAATGACAATTTTCAGTTCTTTACACCCTATAAAGTGTTTTGAAACTTACTCTGCGTAATAATTTGGAACAGGTCATTGTAACTTGTTTATGTTTAAAAAAAATACTGTTATCATTAGGAGGTTTGTTCAATAAAATTTGCATTGTACTCTTAATAGTTGATAACATGAGAATTATGCTGTTATTTACATCAATTATTTAGGTAAATGAGAAAAATATAATTTGCATAATAATTTGGAACAGGATATATATACGATTACTAGAATATGATACTTTTCCTTATATTAGGCCTTTAAATACTGGTTCTGGGTGGAGTTGGTTAAAAAAAAGGGGCTACATTTCCTTCAATCTAGATTTTTCATGTAAATGGATATCTTCCCTCACAAAATTATTAGCTAAGACTGGTTCCTATTAGTCGCAACTCCTAACATTCTTCTTTACTCCACTAAAGTGAAGAAAGACAACAAGCTGTCCACTGCTCCGGTTGACCAAAAAATTAAAACTTTCCATTAAAATTGTGACTTCCTCAATTTTGGTCTCACCAGAGACAGAGTTGCATTGTGCTGAATGTAGCTGTGACGAACTAAAAGCGCAGCAATAGAGCAGATGGAGACAGATTGCACGGAACCCAATGTGCGGGCATTTATTGGTGGGTTTTGCAGGGTTACAGACAATCGGGCAGCTAGTCCACAGAACAACACAAGACACAGCAATACTTTAGGGTTCTCAGGATGGCACTATGGGACAACAGGGGGCCGAAAGTCCTCTGGGTTCAATAGGACAGAGCAGTTGGGGTACAGCAGGAGTTGGAGTCCACGGGCAAGGCTTTCGACCAGAATTGGGCTAAGTCCAGCACAGGCAGTGATCTGGGCAGCATGGGGTTAATCCACTCACTGGATGCAGGGAGCAGGACACAGAGGGTTAAATCCACACAGGCAAGCTTGTAGTCCCGTAAAGAAGACTGGTGAAGCGGGGGAACCTCTGCGGGGTCTGGCCGCAACACAGACCTTGCACAGCAGCAGGCAGGGGGAGCAACTGAACACGCCAACCAGACTGGGGGGCCACTCTGGTATTATATATGGAGCCAGGCGTGTTCCTGTTGCAACCTGAGACTTAACGTCGAGTTACCATGGCAACAGGCTCCAACACCCCCCCCCCCCTCGACGCCGGTCTCTCACAGGGAGCGCAATCTTTGTCTCTGGCGGGCGCAGAGCGAGGGAGAGCTAGATCGCGCCGTGCCCGTGGAGACGGGGAGGGGGGATGACAGGATGGGAGCCTGCTTGTGGTGAATCCACATGCAGGCACAGCAGGGTGGCTGACTTTCTGGTGCTCGGCCAGAGGAGCAGGATGCCACCTCGACAGGGGGGCAGAATGCTGGCAGCAGCAGAGTGAGGGGATTCTGGGGGGTGGGGGGTGGCAAGCAGGAATGGGGGCATGGGGGGGAGACTAGCTCTGTGACAGTAGCCATGGTCTAATGTATGTATGTTTCTTAAAATATATCTAAAGCCAAAAAAGAGTAGAGAAGTGCTGGAACTGGAAAGTGAGTGAAAATCCAAAATACTAAGTTGCCACCAGTCCAAGGGGAAATCTTTCAATTCAGTTGTTACAGCACAAGAAGGTTATACTCCCTGTGAGAACACAGACAGAAAGACAGCAAAAATATAATTGTCAGGAGTTTTAAAGTGCAAATCAGTGCCAAATATTTAGAAAATCTCTGAAATACATGCACATGTCCCATGTTTTATTCATTGTAAAGTGCTGCAAGTACAGAAAAACAGCTAAAGATCTGCCAGAAATCCAGTGTGCTTCCAACTACATTTTTAGACTTACAACACAGTGCTCTTGCTGCACTGAAATTACATTCAGCATTGGCAGCCCTTCCTACTGATTTACAGACTATCCTCTGATCCCTCAGCCCTCTATGTCCTACTCCATATGCATACATGACCTTTTGCTCAGCAAAACAATACTGCTGCCTTGACTCCCAAAGGCCTTCCCACACTGAATGCAGGGAAAGGACTCTTGGAAGTTGTTGTTCTTCTTGGGGGGGGGGGGGGGGAGGGTCTATGTCAATAGGAACTGACTTCCATGCAGCTTCCCCTGCAATAATTTTACAATGTTGATCATGTCGTAGTAGGTAATAAAAGCTTTTTCTTGGAAGAAGGCAGAATAAAATGGTGATGCTGGGACATGCTCTAGAAGGGGGTTTGGGGGTAAACTTGGGTAATGGCTGCACATATACTCTAACCTTTCCCTACTCAAAAACACAAAAAAGTTTTGTTTTTAGATGCACTTTAACACTACCGAAAGATAGCTAAAGTATTTCCTTCCAGACTGTATTCAGGCAAAAGTTCAAAGATGTTGAAAAATGATAGATATTTATTTAGCTTGCAGTTAAGGAGGATGTAAACCTAGCTATTTATTCTTCTTGACTTTTAAAAACAGCGCTTAGCACCAGTAATTGCTTCAAGGTTAAAACATTTCAAAAACCTTGTTCCACAGAGTGCCCACAGAATTGTACTGGAAGAACACCTTGTTTTCTTCCATTCAATGCAGTACATTTTTGTAACTAAATTATTCTTGGCCTAGCTGCAAAACGTAAACCCAGATTCAATCTAATCCATCTTACATAAATGCCCCTTGTAATATAAGATCTGTTAAAATGAAAGGCCTGCTATTGTGAAATATATTGAATGGTGATAAATGTGTCAAAGATCACTTATAAATATGATCTGTTTCTTTGTAGTCCTACAGACTAGTGAGGAGCTGGGGTGTGTTTGGACTAGGATGCAAATCCATGTGTGCAAGCCCACCGGGTCGCCTGTACAGAACAATCATCTGTGACCAGGACATTCCCTGCCCCCAACCACATGTATACGAGGGTTATGTATATTTGCGGCTGTGGGGTGGGGAATGCTCCAAACGCAGATGATTAGACCGTACAGGTGACAGCTTTCTGGGGCGCTCACCTATGTGGGTTTGGATCCTAGCCCAAACATGGCCAAGCTCATCATTGCTACATACAGTTGGACTTCACCTATCTTGCTTTGTCTACAAAACTGAATTATTGCCTGAAGTTCCGTTGAATGATTGTCTGTTCTCATCTGACTCTTGCAGTGGTCTGGCAGCTTTAGTCATCCCCCAATTTCACTTGCTGCCTGTACCCTGTCAGCCTATCAGTGACTCTATTTAGGCTATGCTCAGATTAGACATCCTTGCCTGAGCAATGTTTGTTTGTGTCACGAGACCCTGTACTTTGTAACTACTTGCCTCTGGAAGATCTGCTGTGCACTCTGCTCACCTATCACTAGAAACCCTGCAGATTTAGTAGCAACCTATCTCTGGAAGTCCCATTGTGCACTCTCTTACTTGTCCATGGATATCCTGTATGCTGTACAGTCCCCTCGGATCCCTTTATGCTGTGCTGTACTCAGGTCCTCGTAGCCAGGGTTCTCTTAATGTATCGGCACCCCTGGGTGCTGCCCAGGAACCCCATGATAATTTTACATTACATCATACTTGCCAATTGTCCTGAATTTGCCAGGACAGTTATGCTTTTTACTAAGCTATCCCAGGATGACCGTGTCCCAGGCAACATCCTGGAATCTGTAGTGTGCTCTCCTGATCCCAGTATTGTGCCCTCCTGATCCCCCCCCAAACTGTGTTCTTCTAACCACACACACACACACACACACACACACACACTGCGCCCTTTGTGTTGATCAGTGTTTGATTTATGGCACAATTACTTATTGTTTAAAATTGATTTTTAATAATAGTACTAATTCTTCAGAGTAGGTGCGTAAATTAGGGCAGGTAGGTAAGGGCCCCACTGCATTACTTTGCCCAGGGGTTCATGATGTTATTAAGACAGCCCTGATCGTATCCTGTGTGTGCTACTGACCCACT